AATAACAATCCAACCTTATGGCTACATATTGGTTGACTTATATGAGTTTTATGTCCATCTTAGAGGGCATTTGTCCCAATTGTCTCAAAAGTAATTAAATTGAAAGGATTAACTCTTTACTCTTAAGAACTGCAAAATCAATACAATTGACATCAAGAAGTAAACAGTTATTCAATAAATTGCAACATTCAACAAAAGACATCAAAGAATCTACTGCTGGTTGTATGCCTGACATCAGTGGTGTAGCCTTAATAATGAATCTCTCTTACAATGATGTCCTAAGATTTTTACATTTTTGTAAAAATTCCTGTCCTCAGATTTTTACATTTATTATTTTCTGGTCTGTAAGATATTCCTGCATAGTTATTTAAATATCAGTTCCCTTTTAAATTCAGACTAATTATATTCTTTGTTTTCAAATATTAAAGAGCTAATTTCAAGGATTTCACATTGTAAATATTTGTTTAGGCATTTGAACAATATTAAGGCCACATGTATTCAGTATCAGAAAATATTACATAAGTATAAGTATAAACTTCTGAAATTTTCTTTTTAGATGATTTTATAAAATAATTCAAATTCTGCATCCTTAGAAATATATTATGTTGATACAATTTGTTTTCTGTATGAATCAAAGGTACATAAATGCTCATCCAAGCTGAAATCTACATCTTTTAAGGGGGAGGGGAGGGACCAGGTGCTAGTCTATTTCTATAGTTGTCCTGTAAATAGAGAACAGTCCTAATCTTCATTGGATGTCATATTTGGTGGTGCTGGGGAAATAATGCTGGGAATTGCTCCTCTGCAGAAGGAAGGAACTCCACCAGTGAGACAACACACTCATGCTGAAGCTCTGGTACACCTCTGCAGAAAGCTCTGTAAGTATAGATCTATTGGCAAGGCTGTACAGATGCAGTATCATACTTGGTTCCAGTGAATCCAAAGTCTTCACGTGTCCTTGAGAGAGCCTTGGATTGGGACCATAAAGTACACTATTAAAATCTAAGTCTGTCATAATAAATTTTCCCCTTTTCATTTCAATTGGAAGTAATATTTAAAAGAAAAAAAAACTATTGGAAAGAGATATTTGGGCAATTTCTTTAAAAATCCATAACAGACCAGGTTAGGGTTGCCACATTTCAGGGCCTGCAACTTCTCTAGTCTAACAGAGGAAAGCATTGCTCTGAAAACTGTGTGAATATATCTTATTGAGTTATTAGACATGCTATCTTTGATTTGAATGGTAAACTCTGTTGATGTGTGATGTATTGTACTTAAGATATCACCAGGGGTGACAGCATTATCCTTGTAGCATTATACTTGTAAAATATCTTCCCCTGTAACATCACAAGAGACTGTATCTTGGTCTCAGGTTATGGCCCCCAAACCTCAGGGCCTTGTATAGTCCTGGCCTGGCACCCCTAAACCAGGGAAGGTTCCATGTGTGAATTGCTACCCATAAGGTAAGAAAAGGTAAAGGTATTCCTCATTGACAAGATTGTCACATCATGTCCAACCATGGGGGTGGTGCTCATATCCATTACTAAGCCAAAGAGCCAGCATTGTCAGAGACAACTCTGTGATCATAGGGCCAGCATGATTGCACAGAATGCTGTTTACCTTCCCACCGAAGTGGTGCCTATTTAACTTCTTGCATTTGCATGCTTTCAAACTGCTATATTGGCAGAAGCTGGGGCTAGTGATGGGAGCTCACCCCATCATGCAGCACCTGGGCCTCAAACTGCCAACCTGATCTTGCAATCAATAGAGTCAGTGTCTTAACCACTTGAGCCACTGCATCCCTGCCCATAAGGTAAAATTAGTCAATTTATTCTTTTCATAAACAATTGTTTCCATTTCCTTTAGTTGTGGGAGACTACTGTATTTTTCTTCCAAGATGGTAAGTGACTGTTCTCCATATCCTTGAATCCATCCAATCAAGTAACTGGACCAATTTAGCTGCAGGAAGAACCTGAGTGTTTCCTAGTGAGGTATAATAATGGTAAAAAAGTGTGAAAAAATCCTGCTGCACTCAAGATAAATATATGAAGAGAATGACCACTAGCTTTTTTTCCTGCTTCTTTGAATATGGCCTAGAAAAGTACTTCTGTTGAAATTTTAGCACTTAATTATACTAGCATCACTGCAAAGGAAATGTTAAGTGTTCCCACCTGCAATTATACAGAGTGCAATGGAATGGCTAAATAACTTGTGCTTAATCCCCTGACACAATAAACACAAGTTATAATCAGTGATTTATTGTCTTTGGAAGCTTTATCATCAAGGAGGTACATATAAACAGTGTAGCAAAATGAAAAGCTGTATAATCACAATCCTTCCTTGAGTGTCTCTTCAGTCTGAATATCATGAGCCATGAATAATTTTCAAACAAAGGGAAATCATTTATTCAGCTTAAATGTTTCTCCCTTGTCAAACACATTTTTATTTCAAAGCCTTTCTAGTACTATAGATAATTCTTAGCAGTTCTTTATCAGTATTCACAGTTTTGCATGACACATGTACAGAAACTTCTATGAGTTTTCCATCAACGTATTCCAGTGAATCATGGAAGTACAGTTATAATTGATACATCTTTTGAGTTATTGTTGTCTAGTCCCTTTATTGTCCAATGGTGCAGAGAATCATTACTTTCCATGATAAAAAGTCCTGAATTCAAAATGGTCCAGGTAGAGATTAACCACATAGTACACAACATCAGACACTGACCAAAGTAAACTGGGCACCACAGGAAAAACAGGCAGATCAGCAAAGCACTCTGAATTGTCACAGCCAGAATGTGTCAGGTGGCACTAGCATAAAACTTTATAGGCCAAAAAATGGTTGTTGATCTGCTAAGTGAGTTCATTTTCACCACTGTCACCTGTTTTACTGCATGTTAATTTCCCAAAATCTCCAGGATTAAGTCCCATATGCCTTGAGCCACAGGTTCAGAGGTAAGATGAAGTGTCCTTGGATTCCCACCTTTAGTACCAACAGAAGAAGAGAATAGCCTCAGTTTGAATCCAACAAATACCAATCACACCCCTTTCTTTCAATCCCTTCCAAGATGCCTTAGGGCTTGTTTACATGATTTAAATACTCCTCATTCTATTCAAATAGGCTACAATCCAGCCACCATTAATAGGAATTTGGGCTTTTTGCAGGGGTGTGTGTCAAAAACTCCCTAAACTCTGCTGGAAAAAGATTCATAGTTTTTACTAGAGTATCCCTGAGGATTTGTATTATTGTATGTGTGGCTGGCCAGTTGCTTTTCATGGATTTGCATACATTTGCATGGCTTTGCATTTTTGGTAATTGATCAATATTACCATTTCGTAAAAGGTCAACCTTCGCTCTTGACAACATATAATACTGGCAGGAGCTAATGTGGGTTGTAGCTCAAAATATCTCTAAAGCATTATGTTGGGGAGAGTTGACCCCATTAAAGGATGAATCCATCCTGACATCTCATAGAGTGAGTTATAAACCACAAAAGGGAGTTACTGTGCCACAGTAAAGCTACTAGATTTTAAGGTGACATTAACACTCATATGTGGACGTCACCCCCCCCCAGGAATATTCACTTTGCACAGCACAGTATTTGCATATTCAATTATTTTAGAAGTTTTAGCAATCACAAGTTTTAGAAGGAGGTGCATGATATATGTTAATCTATCACTTGCTTCCTATGTCAATGAGTTGAAGTATAATTGCACATAAAATATAGGCATTTAAATCATTGTTATATTTTATTGATCCAGTGAAAACACTTGGGCAATACTGCTGACATACATTGGCCAATGTCCTATTTAGAATGGGAATATACTTTTGTTAGGAGCAGAAATACCATTAGCAATTCCTGTATTTCCCTTTGCACTGCATAGCAGATGCTTGACAGAAATTTTCCAATAGGTTTCTATTCCCACAGCTTTTAATTCTGAAAAATCATTGTGTCCAGGACCACCTGTCCTTGAATGGACTGGGTTAACCATTTTGTTTTTAACAGTATTGGCATTGGGAGGATGGTGAGGAAGGCTGAACTTTTACTGTCAGACTGAAACAGTGTGTCTGCAATAAACAGTGTTATAAACAAAGCATTATCAGGGAACCAGTAAGCTGCCCCAAGTCCCAGTTTTGGGAGAAGGGTGGGATAACAACAACAACAATAACCAGTAGGATTCTCCTCTGGCAATATCTACTGTAGCTGCATGTGCCTTCCTGTAATAGGCAAGGTCAAGAGCAGCTGCCTCCACAATCCATTACTAAGCATGCATCAACAGCAAAACAGAAGAATGTAGAGCAAATAGGTGTGCTTCATAGTTTCAGACATGAGCTTCACTTTTTCTTATACTTGATCACTCAAAATGCAGGCTGGGAAAGCAGGTAGTATTCAAGAAACTTTGGGCCTTTGCAGACTGCCAGAAATAGTGCACATTAAATTGAAACACTGCCTTGCTTCAGTGCTAGGGAATCATGGGAATTGTATTTTTTTTTCTGAGACATTGAGCCTTCTCTGTCAGAGAGCTCTGGTGCCACAATAAATTACAGTTCCCATGATTCCCTAGCACTGAGCCAGGGCAGTGCCTCAATTTAATGTGCACTATTTCTGGCAGTCTGCAAAGGCCCTAAGATGAGAACAATAAAACTGTAATCGCACCATAGGCATATGTATTGATTTTGTTGAGAGAATATGCCAAGCCAACATCAAACTGGTTTTATAGGTTATGCAAAACCTGTTTGATGTCAGACCATCATGGAATGGGGTGACACAGAGGGATACACATGGGAAACAGAGGGATACACAAATTCAAACCCTGGTTTCCTAAAGTCCTAGAGCAGCACTCAGATCACTACACCATACTAGCTCTCATTTAATTTCTGACTTATGGCAACCCTAAGGTAATTCTATCACAGAGTTTTCTTAGCAAGATTCTTTTGCATAAGGGGTTTGCCTTTGCTGAGAGAATATGACTGGTACAGGATCACCCAGTGGGTTTCCATGGCTGAGCAGGGATTCAAACTCTGGTCTCCAGAGTCATAGTCCAACATTCAAACCATTACACCACACTGTCTTTCATTTGTCCCATATCATACCTCTTTGCTGGAGATTAATGTGAGGTTTTTTCCCATAACTTATCCAAAGAACTCTGGGGTTTCCACTCAGGCAATCTCACCAGTGCCAGTGGCCATCGGGGGGGGGGGGGGGGGGTCTATTATGCAAACCACCAAATGTGAAGACTTCCACATTGCACACTCCAATAACTAGGAGTAAAGGCTTTCCCTGATCACCAATTCTGCCACAAAATAAGGACTTCTTTCTGTCCCACCTATATGCCACCAACTGCAGGGATCATCTAAATGCCCTCAAGTTACATATAAATTATGCAACTCCTGTACTCAGTGGACACCACTCCTCTATCAATGCTGCCACCACAGATAACTTGTCTGAATCCAAACTCTCAGAAAGATAGCATTTCCAGAGGCCAAAAGTGTATAAAAACAAAAGCAATTATTTATTTATAGACATGAAACATAATACAGCAGATTAATTATTTATTATATTTAAAATGCCACATGTCCTCTCTCACAGTTCTCTCAAACTAACCCAGTCTAACCAAACCTCCAACTAAACTCTCTTCTCTAGTCCAACCTTACTCTAACTCAAGAAACCTTTGTCTAACTGAACTCCCATCTTTCATTCACCAGCCTTAAGCAGATCTCTGCAAACTTTCCACCAATCAGCATTCACTCCAAAATTCCAATCTCTCCCCTCTCCCAACAGTACCTTATCTTATAATCTAACATACAATCAATGCATTCAGCAACATTTCCAATTACAAGTCCATGACATTACAGTTACACCACGAGGAAGATTGGGCTGTTTGTCCTTAAATCCAGGGTTGAAAATTTAGTCTAAATACAGAGCTGCATGGTTCAGGGTGAAGGTCTAAGATCAACAATCAAAAGCATCTTCTTATCTAGCAAAATCCTTTTTCAAATGTAGTTGTTTTCCTCATATGCTACATATACCAAAAGAGCAACACAAAACTTAGCATAAGCCTAGTATATTCATGATTTATTTGACACATTGCTAAACAACTATTACACCAGATACAAATCTGCAACCAAATTCCATTTTGTTGGCACAGTTTTAAAGAGAATGTGAGGCCTGAGATGCTACACTGTGCTCCAAATATGGGTATGCTCTGGTATTAATGAAGAAGGATGTGCAATAAGAACGCTTGGCAGAAAGCAACATAAATTTATCCAGTGACTGAAGTCATTTGTAAATTACACCAAAATATTACTGTAAAAAGATTTTTATCTTATCTGTACCTTTTTACCAACCAACCCCCCCCCCCACACACACACCATGTCCACCTAAACTAAAATAGTTTTGCTCTTTCTGAGAGAATGATTTCTCAACGTCTTTTTCTTTCCCCTTTCTTTCCTCAATTCCTATTCCAGCAGACAGTTAAATAATGGTCACCCATTTTCCCTTTTCACAGAAAGCAAAAGCATCTTTCTGCAGGTGACAGTAACAATGATAATCATCTAAAGAAACCTGGAGAATTATTAGAAGAGGGCTGATGGGAGAGTCACTCACAGTATATGAATGATTTGGAACTAATAAGAAGGGTGAAAATTCTTCCATTTAGAAAAGAATGGGTTGGATAGAAATAGGTTGCTACTTAAATAATAAAGGAGCCCATCAATAAGAATTCCGTTCTGCTAGGCACTTCAGGAAATGAGATTATTATACACTCCTATCTTCTGGAGGAGGGGAAAAAAGTGTAGCATATATGCAGTATTTCAATGGACTTAAGCTTCTGAAAGGGGAAAGTCTCACAGGTTTGTTGGTGACATTTTCTTTTTTGTGAAAGTGATGTCTAAATAGTTGCCCAATGATTTGACAATGGGCTAAGGGTATATCTACTCCAAACAATTATAGCATTTTGCTACCAATAACTTCCATGACTTCATCCAATAGAACCCAGGGATTTGTAGTTTGGTAAGGGGTACTGAGAATTCTCTACCATAAAGCTGTGTAGTTCAGAGGAAGGTACCTACCCCCAAAACTACAAATCCCAAGATTTCATAGGAATGTGCCAAGAGAAGTAAAGCTATATCAAACTCTTCCAATTTTGCAGGGTGGATGGACCCCAAATGGTGAAGTAGGGATAAGCTAAGATCAATGAACTCGTCTTTCAAAGTATGGCTCCTCTAATACTAGTCCCTGGACCACTCCTTTTAAAATCTGGGCTTATCATTAGACAAAATGATTTAGGTGATTCTGGGAAGTTAGAATAGGGCAATAATGGTAGGCCTCCTGATTATTCATCCTTGGACCATTTGTTTCATTTGAAAGACAGAGCAATGTGTGGTGCTTTGTGTCTCCAAAGCCATGCCCAAAAATAAATTTGGAACTTGATACCTGCAGTAAAAAGGGATAACCTGGGCATCCTCACTCACACATATCATAATCCCTTGCAATATATACAATATCTCAAGTCATGGAATAAATGTTTATAAATTAATTCTCAAATTACGCTTTCTACATTGAAACTACACTATGGCTCACATTGGGACTTTTTACCAAGTTCTTCTTCTAACTAGAAGGTCTACAAAGCTTGCTAAAATATTCTGTAATGATTTGTTTGGTCCTTTGCATTTTGCTACAGATGTTATTATTTTTAATTATAAGATGGTATATAATTTCAATTAATATATATATAAAACACTCAACTAATCAAGAAAATATCAGATGCAAATAGAAGATGCGTATCATATATGGGGGAATGTGCAAAGGATAATTAACCAGAGAACTGATAAAATGTAAGGCTATAACATCCCATGAATCCTTTTTTCCCTTAAATATATGTGTGGATTCATGAATCAATCCTATACAGAGCTAACACAATATATGTAATGCAGAGATTGTAGGCTATGAAATCCCATAGATCTCCTTAAATAGATAGATGGATGGATAAATCAATTATATACAGAGCTAATAGCATATAAAGGTAAAGGTATTGTCTGTTGACAAGGTTGCCAAGTCGTTTCCTGCCATAGGGGGCTTTGCTCATCTTTGTTACTAAGCCAAAGAGCCAGCGTTGTCAGAGACTACTCAGTGATCATGTGGCCAGCATGACTGCACAGAACATTGTTTATCTTCCCACTGAGAAGTGGCACCTATTTATCTACTTGCATTTGTATGCTTTTGAACTAAATACATTATACTAGCTTTTGCCTTCATATATGGTGGATTACAATTCCCAGAATTCCTGACCATATTGGATGGAGCTGATGGGACCTGAAGTCCAAAACATCTATAGGGCAGCAGGCATAAGAAGGCCTCTTTATCCAAAAAGCATGAAGACTAAAAACTTTATACCCACTATAACTGAATGGTTAGCTATAATGGCAAAAGTAACACATTTTAAGAGAATAACAAAACCAAAATGGACAAAGATAGAACAATCTATTTGAAAGCTTATACTGTATTTAATTTTGAGGAGTTAATAAATAGACTGTCTGTCTGTCTGTCTGTCTATAATGCTTTATGGTTCTGACTCTTTTTAATGCAAACTCCTTTATAGCTGGGCATGACAGCATGGTATGTGTAAACTAGACATTTATTTACATATATTTGGGACCTGAAAAGCAACACTGGTCCTCACTATATCTGTCTGATTATTATGGTGTTTTGTCTCTCCTGCCAGATGTATTCCTTCCTCCTGCCTACTCGCTGGAGGCTGGTAGTTCACAAGAACATGCAAAAACAACAACACCCCACACATTTCTTCTCCCTTCCCCCTGTCCTAGTTGAACTATAAACATGTGCCTGGGCCAGCAATTAATTGTTCAGAAGGTTATTTCTTTTGCTCCAAACATTGCTTCTGATTGGCACTAGTACATCCTACAGGACCTAAACAATAGTTACATGGGTACAGGCAAATCAATTTTGATTTAAACAATAAAAAACACTGGGACTGCGCTTTTCTTATGCCAAAGTTCCACTGAGATGTATAGATGCTGCTGATCTTTGCTGGTTTTCATGTGTTTCCTCACGCTAATAGGATCAAAGTTGTGCTGGACCCTCTTAGATCTACAGGCAGTGTGTACATTCTGCACCCATGCTTTTGTCTGGTCTCCTTTCTTAAGTGCAGTGGACACAGCTGCCCTGATGCCAATACTGAAGTAAGATTCATCAGATAATCCAATCAACTTTAGTAACAGGAAAAGCTGAGGAGATGCCACCTTTTACACCTCAGACAACAAAATGTCTTGGACCATTCCTGGTCTATGAAACCTACCCTATGTAGAAAAGCTGTACCCTGTATGATAAATCTACCTTGATATCATCTGTCCAAACTTTGGAAATTACTTTTTAAAAGCAGTGGATTAAGTAAATCCTTACAGAAGTTCCAAAAATAATTTGTTACTATTATCATTACAATCTTAAAGTGATTTATTATGTTTATGACTTTTCTTTTACTTTTTCATTACTTAAAAACACTTACCAGAGAACAGATTGAATGCAACTTGAAAAATTCCACTCAAAATGTTCTAAAACTGCTCTTTAAAATTGTTAGATGTTGCCAGAAAATAAGGCCTAAATTAAACAGGTCAGCCCCAGTTAGTACTTGGATGGGAAACTACCAACAAATAGCAGGTACTGTAAGTTATATTTCAGAGGAAGGAACTGGCAAAACCACTTCTAGTACTTGTTGCCTATGAAATTCATGGAGTCACCATTAGTTGACAGGAGCCTCAAACGCACATACACATAACTAGAAAATATTACTCATTACCTCCCACTCTCACCAAAAAGTGCAAGTCTCACTCTTTGTGTTAGTTTTGAAATATGTTTATGTTATGCTTTTTTGTCAAGAAAGAAAGAAAGAAAGAGATAGCCCTTACTAACAGGACTTATGATTCATTACTTATAAGCTCTGCTTTTTACCTGGATGGACAATGACTCTTCAGAGGTTTTGAATATGAATCTTTTCCAACCCTAGACCAGGATTGATCAAAGTCTTTTTGCTTGCAAAGCATGTGCTCTGCCACT